AGAGACAACTCTCTCCATCACACTTGGTGATCTCACCTCAGACTTCATGGATAAAATAGATGCCATTGTACTTGTCACCCTGTCCCCTACTCAATTCTAAAAATGTATCTGTATCTTTGGCTTGAGTTATGATGGGAAATGTCTGAACTGCTGCTTAAGAACGATAATATCTCCTCTCATCTTTTCAAAGACCATCATTTCTAGTTTGCTTCAGCTTCTCTCTTTTTTTTCTGGAACATTCCTTTTAGCAATGAAACCTTCATATCACTGACTTAAACTCCCTTTTCTTGACATTGCTTCCTTCAGCTATTGCTCTTTGATGCTAAAACCCCTGAAAGTATCCTAAAGCCACTGTCTCCACTTTTCCACAGAACATTTTCTCCTTCACCCATTCTGGTGGGGCTGGCTCCAAGGTCAAACAGAAATGACACTTAAAAATTGCTTAACTGCTTTAATCTTTCAAAATCCAGTAGTTCATTTTCAGTTTTCAACTCACTGTAACCCTTCTCATTATTTAATTACCACACCCTTGAACTACTTCCCTCATCTTTCTTCTAGAATAAGGAAAGACCTTTCTTTCCTCTATCTCTGCTACTTTGTAGGTCACTGTACTCTCTAGGGCCCAATTCCTGGCTTTCTTTTCTGTCTTTCCTCACTGATCTAATTACATGGTTTCAAATATTTGTCCATAGTTGAGCAAATATCAGCATCAAATATTCATTCATATGGGAATATATTTGTTAGTTACTTTAAAATTTAATATGCCCAGCCCAGCCTTGATTTATAGCTAATTGCTAATATTACCAACTTCAAGCATATATTTGACTGATTTGATGAGATGTTCATTAAAATGTATAGTAAATATCCTAGTTTACATTGTCAAAATGAAATCTATTAATTTTTTCTACTAATCAAATGGTTATATATCTCATACACTTTGCAGTGCTGATAGGTATTTGTTAACTTAATAGTCACATCTTTAATTCTTTTACTAGTTGGAATTATCAGTGTAGCAACCCAGACCTAGAAATGCTAATTCCTCTAGAGAGGTTTCCCACCAGCTCCTGCCATGTTCTGGGCTCCACAACAGCCCAGCAATTCAATGAACTAAGTGCCTGTATGTATTCTTTAATCACATAGAAGATGAATCTTCTGAATATTGTTTGAAAATCATTATCCTTGAGTAATTGGAAGCAAGGAAGATTTTACACAGTTCTGCTTTGCTTCAGTTCCTTACTAAGATTAAATTATTTGGTCACAGATAAAAATTTCCCTTTTTGCGCAATATTTCCCTGATAAGCCACTGGCATTTTTCCTACCTTCTTGAAGCAACCAGCTGCTCCTTATGTGCTAAGCCTTTCTGATGCCTGCTCTGGCCCAACACTGCTGTTTGTGCTGCTCTTTTCCTTTTCTTTGTATCTTATCATAATTGACCTCTTTTTACTGGAAACATGAAATGATTATTGCCCAGTCCTATGTATTTCTCCACCAGGTACTTTTGAACTGCTCTTAACCTTTGGTGGCATATACATAGCTCAAGGTTGTGTTTCTTTTCTTTTTCTTTTTTTTTTTCTGTTTTCTTTTTTTTTGCAGAACCGGGGATTGAACTCAGGCCCTTGCTCTTGCAAGACAGGCACTTATTCTATTCCGCTATCTCCCCAGCCCTTGTGTTTCCTCATGTTGCTTCCACGTGGAGGAGAGCTCACCCACATCTGCACATTTTCTTCCCTTCAAGGGCTTCTATAGAACAATAGGCTGTTGTTTCCCTGCTTTATTCCCCCCAGACCTATGGAAAAATATTAAAAGAGACTTCGCATCATAGTCTTAAGGGAAGAAAAAAGAATAACACCATCACTGATTTTTTTAATGTGTATATTTTCTATGTACTTATTTCTTTCTTTCATTTTGGTGGGTATTATTTCAATTGGATGAGTAGATCATGTAGCAAAAGACTTTTAGATACAAGTTAATAACAATTAGCAGTTTTGTGGACATTTTGTTTTCATTAACTGTTAGAATTATATTTAACTTCAATGAGTAACTAAGCCTGGAATTTGATGATATTTCATTTTGTTACAAATAATTGAGAATGGTCAGTGTTTGGGATCTTGCCTGTGAGTTAAGCAGAAGGATGAGTTTTTGTCACAGCCAAAATTTACTAGGTTGAAGGAGACATATAAATTAATTTGAAATAGATTAGTATTTGCTTTCAGACATCTTAAAGAGTAGAAATTCAAGTGAATATTGAAATTTCTTGGGTTGCCATGTGCTCACTATTGCAGATTAACAGAAAAGAACAAGGGGAAGAAGAAATTAATAAAGAAAGAAAGAGGGAGGGGAGGGATGGATGGAGGGAGGGAGGGGGGGGATGTATGTAAGACAGAAAGAAGAGAAGGAAGAGAGAAGCTTGCTCTTTGGCAATGCTATGTAATGAAAGCTAATTTTGTAACATTATCTTGTAATGCCAAAAAGACAGCCTTTCCTGATCTGTATTATAATTACTTCTTTAATTACACATCTTTATTCAGTTCTACAATTCGGATAGGCATGGTTCATGTCTTTCTTGCTTACTATCATAATGTATACAGCAGTGCTGGCATAGAAGCCTTGCTATGTACCTATAACTATTCAGCGATGACATCACTTTTCAGCTTTTGATAGCTCTGAGATTAGATTTCTTTAACACAGAGAAGATATTCAGGTCCTTTGTAGGAAAGTTGATACATCTTGAGACCATACCACTAAGTGAAATAAGCCAGACAATAAGATCAAATAGCACATGGCTTCTTTTATGTGAGAAACCTAATATATAAATAATTGAAAGAGTAAAATGGAAAAAGTGCAGCACACATTCCTGTGTAGCAGTGGGATGTGGCTCAAGCGCTGAACAACACTAACAGCAGTTGGAGTGTCACTGTTGGCTGTCCTTCCTGTACCTCTTGAAATCTTGGCCTTTTGGCTGTTTGCCATGACAATGACTAAACACTTCTGCCAAAAAGGAGAGCCCTTGAAAGACTGATTCCCAAGCCACAGCCCTAGAGCTTCTGTCTCAGTTGGTACAGAGCAATCCCCACAGTATCAGTATTTTGGACACTCTCCAGGTGATTTCATGTTCAACCTGGGTTGAAAGATGACTTTTCAGATAATCAAATCAACCTACTTTGGGTGATTTAGTCAGAAGCTTCCAAGTGGGAGTGGTGGTAGCATGGCTAGCTGGGCATCCGATAGCACAGGGCTGTCCACGTGCAAGCTCCGCCCGTCCCCAACACGAAAGTCCAACAAATGTCTGTGCCTTAATCCTGGCCCACTGCTGAGCGGGGACCGTGAAAGGAAGAAAGCAGAAATGAGGAGGTGAAAATTTGATTTTGGTTACATGATTAAATTCTGCCATTAACCACTGTTCTAAAACAACTTACACTGAGCCATCAGCAGATACATCTTTTTTGAGAACCTACTACAGCCTTGGAAATAGACTATGAATGAAGCAGGGAACAAGGTCAACATCACTCCTGCTTTCTTAGCTAGCACTCTGGGGGGAAGACTGAAGCATGCATCAGCACCACTGCCATTGATATCGATGCATAATCCGAGAAGAAATTAAAGCACAGCCAAGAGTAGGGAGAGTGATGGTGTACAGTGAGAGTGATTGTGGTCAGGGAAAAGCTCTGGGTGTGGTTGCTTGAGTCTTGGATGATGAGAAAGAGTAAAGGTTGGAACCGTGTGGGGCTGGGGAAGCAGCAAGGGGGAAATCTCTGAGTTAGGGATGCCCTTGGTATATCCTAAGGTAGAAAAAAGTCCTTGTGACTGAAATAAAACTCATCATAGGCCTCAGAAGCCACGGGGAGGAGTCTAGGATTTATCTCATGTGTGATATAAGGCTCTTGGGGGGCAGGGTTATGAGTGGAGAGGGACTTGATCTAATTTTATTTTAGAAAGGTTCTGATTCCTGTGTGGAAGATGACAAACGAGGGGTGAAATTTGAGGCCCTCACAGTGGCCCTCAGAGGTTGGAGTAGCTTGCATTAGTATTGTGGTGGCTAAGGAGGGAGAAATAATAAGATGCAGGATGATTCTGAAAGTGGTAGTGGAGAAGACTTGCTGATGCATGGAGTGTTGAACACAAGGGAAAAAGAAAATTTGACTCGACAGTAGTCATAGTTATGACTGTAAAATGAATTCTGAATGCTTAGGCATCTCCAGATATGTGGCAAGTCCTCAACAAATCCTAGCTTTACCAAACACCCAAGTGAATGGCTTGAATGGACAAGTGGGCATTCAAGCCTACAGCTCAGGGAGCTGGTGCTGTGACCTCAAAGTCACCAGGGATGGGGAAAATCATAAAGGGGAGTGGAATGCAAGAAAAAATTGAGAGTGGGATCCCGGGGTGCTTCAACATGGACACTGTGTACTGAGGAGAAGGACCCAGAAAAGAAGATTGCAAAGAGGTGTGGGGCTAGGGAATTAAAGGACATCCTAGAGTGTGGTAAGACCCGTGAACCAAGGAAAGAAAACATTAGGGCAAACATTGACTCAAGTACTGCTGACAAGTATTCCAGAGCAATAGATAATGAGGTTGACTATTGGGGTCTTCTTTATCCCTTACCTTCAAATCTGTGACAATTCTCCAGGGTACTTTCTCCTTCTTAGGAAGACTTCTCTGTTTTGGCTTTTTTTTTTTTCCTATCCCTTTACACTTTCTCTCTCTCTCTCTTTACCTTCAATTTTCCTTATCCTTCAAACTTAATGCCAAACAAAATTCTGTTCCCTTTAAATGGGAGCAGGTTACATATGCAAGAATAATCCCCATTCCTGAAGCACGAGCTTTGATTTTCACAATAATAACACTTACTCAGGCCGTTGTATGAATACTTCTTATCTGAGCACACAGCAACGTAGGCATGGAAATAGCGATTGTTCACATAGATAAAATGTTAGAAAGGCATACATAAAATTAAAAAGATCGAGTTGAAGATGCCACCTGCCCTTGAATTATGTCTCTAGGAGAGAGAACGCTGCTGTGTGGAAAGTGGTGTTTGGCATCAACAACCTGGACCACCCATCCGAGTACACGCAGACCCGCCTCGTGAAGACCATCATCCTGCATCCCCGCTACAGCCGTGCAGTGGTGGACTACGACATCAGCGTGGTCGAGCTGAGTGAAGACATCAATGAGTCAAGCTTTGTCCGGCCTGTCTGCTTGCCCAGCCCACAGCAGGCTCTAGAACCAGACACATACTGCTACATCACAGGCTGGGGCCACATGGGCAACAAAAGTAAGCTAGTGTCTTCAGCAGCCATGCCCTTCAACTTACAACTGAAACATATTGTGTCTTTCTGACTTTTGGCTATAACTCCCCACTTTCACTTATGAAAACATAGCCACAAATGGCTATTGTTTGCTGTTATGTGACCTGTTCTCTCTTCCAAGCCAGTTGTAGACATTACTAATCCATTGTGGCATTTAAATCTGCCGAACTCAGATGCAACCTTGATTTCTTTCTTTCCTTCTTTCCTTTTCTTTTTTTCCTTCTTTCCCTTCCTTCTTTCCCTTCCTTCCTTCCTTCCTTCCTTCCTTCCTTCCTTTCTTTCTTTCTTTCTTTCTTTCTTTCTTTCTTTCTTTCTTTCTTTCTTTCTTTTTCTTTCTTTCTTCTTTCCCCTTCCCGCCCCTCACTTTTTCTCCTCTTTCTTTCTTTCTTTCTTTCTTTCTTTCTTTCTTTCTTTCTTTCTTTCTTCTTTCTTTCTTTCTTTCTTTCTTTCTT